TGCTCTCAAACTCAATCCCATTCCGTATAAGGGACTCAAAACAATATACAAAGACTATAAAGAAATCTTAAAACATATATAAGTGAACGTGATTTTAATTTCTGATCCTACTTCAATAATGAAATCATGCTTCAATTTTTTTTCTTGCTCTATGTTTTAGTCTTCTTAGCGATTACACATTTCTCTATGTCTTTTTAACCTTCCATCTGTAATTTATATGTCTGTTCATAGTATATGTATTTCACTTTTTATGATGTTAATTAAGCGCCATAAGGTATAACATTGTTAAATTTTGGCGCTATATATATGACATGTGAAACGTTGCAATATTCGACTTTTTCCATTTGCATTGTATAATTTTCCATTTGTATTGTATAATTTTTATTTGTTTTGCATAATTTTCTATTTGAATTATATAATTTTTCATTTGTATTATATAATCGTTATTTGTATAGTATAATTTTCTATTTGTATTGTATGATTTTTCATTTGTATTGCATAATTTTTATTTGTATTTTATTTTTTAGTTTGTACTGGATAATTTTTATTCGTATTCTATAATTGTTCATTTGTGTTGTATAATTTTCCATTTGCATTGTATAATTTCTTATTTGTATTGTAAAATTTCTTATTTATTCGCGATAATTTTCATTTGTATTGTATATGAGAATTTGTTTCGTTACGAAGGATTTCATTGGTCAAGTTTTAGCCTGTATAGTGTTGAAAGAGCGAGATGTTCCGGGTGCTCAAAGCATTTGCGTGCATTAGAGGACGGTCATTTGATTCTGAAAAGGGAGCGCTGGCAGATGGCAAAGAAATAATCTGTCCTTAGAAATGTTGAATGAGAAAATAAGTAATTTGACCTTGAGTGGTGGTATCTAGTATCAACCCCCATCCCCCAAGAAATTGAATTGTCGGGTTTGGGATTTTCTTCTTTTCCTTTTTCTTCTTGTCTCTAGTCATACATAAATATTCTCTCCTGCCCCCCCCCCCCCCGGGAGAATCAAATGATCGTCCCTTAGCATGCACGCAAGTAGAGGAATCTAGAGAGTGCACGAACGGAATTGTGGGAGGGTACCAGACATCTCGCTCTACAGACTAAAACTTGACCAATGAAATCCTTTGTAACGAAATAAACAATCCTCGGTTACAATACAAATGAAAAATTATCGCATACAAATAAGAAATTATATAATACAAATAAGGAATGCAAATATAGAATAAATATAGAATAATATAATACAAATAATATATACAAAAATATAGAATACAAATAAAAAATCATACAATTCAAATGATTTTTTTTTTACAATACAAATGGAAAATATAGAATACAAATAAATCTTATAGAATCCAAATGAAAAATTATACAAAACAAATAGAAAATAATAGAATATAAATAAAAATTATACAATACAAATGAAAAATTATACAATACAAATGGTAAATTATAGAATATAAATGAAAAATTAAACAATACAGATATATATATATATATATATATATATATATATATATATATATATATATATATATATATATATATATATATATATATATATATAGATATATATATATAAATATATATTTTTATACATTTGCTGTGTTTTTCTACTAAGCCAACTGTGAAATTGATTTGAAAGTCATTGTTTGTGTATACTCACGCGTAGAAATATACATGGTGAAACACGCGCTAAAGTGACGTCACAATAAGGCTAAAGAGACGTTAATAAAAATGTAACTATATAGGGCAGCAAGGAATTTGAATATTGAGTATATCATTGGTTCTTTTAAACTTGTAAAACGTAAATATAAGGAATTTTTATAAGTTTAGTGTGAATTATTGGTGTGTAAATCACACAGACTTGCACGTAGGCATATTTTTCATGAAGCGCGCTAGCGCGCTTCATGAAATATGCCTACGTGACAAGTCTGTGTGATTTACACACCAATAACTCACACAAAACTTAAAAACATTCCTTAAATATATATATATATATATATATATATATATATATATATATATATATATATATATATATATATATATATATATATATATATATATAAATACTTAAATAAATGAAAACAGAATGCTACAGTCCAAGTTAAATAAAATCTTTGCTGTTAGCGCTTTCAGCCATGTTGGCTCTTCAGACAGTTATGAAATGTCAATAACGTTACTAATGACGTCGTAAAAATCTTAGGTATTATGACGTCACAATGAAGTTTGTGGTAGCGGCTACATGAACTTTTTCAACGCAGTTAAAATACAATATTTACATTTGCTATGTTTTTCTACTAAGCCAACTGTGCAATTGATTTGAAGTTCATTTTTGTGTATACTTACGCGTAGAAATATACACGGTGAAACTCTCGTGTAAATTGACGTCACAATGAGGCAACAGAGACGTTAATAAAAATGTAACGATATAGGGCAGCAAGAAATTCAAATACTGAGCATAATATTGTTGCTTTTGAACTTGTAAAATGTAAATATAAGGAATGTTTTTCAATTTAGTGTGAATTATTGGTGTGTAAATCACACAGACTTGCACGTAGGCATATTTTTCATGAAGCGCTAGCGCGCTTCATGAAATATGCCTACGTGACAAGTCTGTGTGTTTTACACACCAATTACTCACACAAAACTTAAAAACATTCCTAAAATGTATAATTAAAGCATAGAAATAATATAAAATCTCTGAACATATAATCTATCATTTGCGATTTAGTTTTGGATTAAATAGTCTTATAAAATAGCCCTCTTTGGTAACGCGGGCGCTTTCATCCGATGTCCACATTTTGTAGAACGGGAAAATCTTAAATTTTCCTTTACCACACTCAGCAAAATGTTCTGAACATATATATATATAGTATTATTTTATTTTATTGTATTGTAATTATTATTATATATTCATTCATGCATGCTTTTATTAAAAGCTAGACTAGGAGCATCAATTAAAACAAGAGGCCCAAGAGCCTTAACGGTCGACTGATTATACTCAACACTGTAAAGGATCCATGGAAGTATAAAACAAAATTAACGGATAGACGAAGCAATGTTGCCCAAGAATTTCAAAAATCTGGTAAAAATACCCTTGTTTATCGTAACGTGCTAGACCCGAGTGATCTCCTTGGGATCATACTTGGTTTTCCCAAGTCTTACAGGGATGATAATGATTGGAAAATATACAAATACAATGGACACTTGCCTGTTGTGTAAGGTATTCAAATTATACAGATATGTTTTTGTCACTTGGCTAGTTCTACAATTCAGTACATACAGACTTGGGTATACATCGTGGCTATTTGCCACCTGTCACTAATTACAATAAGTCACCCTGGCTCTCTCTCTCTATATATATATAACATTCTTTTTTGTATTCTCATTCAATCAAATAACCTGTTAATTAAATTATATATAAGGTTTTCTTGATCACCAACATTTAGCAAAGGGGAGTAACTCTCATTTGCTTCACTAATCACAATAATTGTGTACTCTGCCTCCTAGATACCCATAAGCAAAGACACATTTACTTATAATTATATTTAATACATTTACATTGATATTATTGGATTTAGTTTGTTTGCTTAGTACTCATGGTGAGAGGAGAAGATTTTCAAAGCATGAATGCATTTTGCTAATTAATCAATAGAACCCACCCAAGCACAAGAACCCCTGACTTAGGGTTTAGTTTGTTTAATCAATACCAAGGGGCAGAGGAGAAGATTTTCAAAGCATTAATTTATTTTCAGTGTATGATAAATAGGCCCCTCCTCTCCACATGGAACCCCTAACCCCGGGGCCATGAAATTCACAATTTTGGAAGAGGCACTCCTGCTCATCATAACTATATAATAAGTTTATCAGCTTAATACCCAGGAGCAGAGAAGATTTTCAAAGCATTAATTTATTTTCAATATATATTAAAAAAAAAATAAGCCCCCCCCCCCCCCCACAGAACAGAACCCCAGACCCAGGGGCCATGAAATTCACAATTTCACAAGGAGAAGGTTTTCAAAGAATTGATGAACTTTCACTATATAATTAATAGAGCCTCGCCCTAACACGAGAACCCCTAACCCAGGGGCCATGAAATTCACTATATTGGAAGAGACACTCTTCTTCATCATAACTATGTACTTAATTCATCGGCTTAATACCCAGGAGCAGAGGAGATTTTCAAGAAATTGATGCATTTTCAATATATAATCATTAGAGCCCCGCCCTAACACTGGAACACCTGACCCTGGGGCCATGAAATTCACAATTTTGGAAGAGGCATTCTTCCTCATTATATCTATAAACTTAGTTCATAGGCTTAATACCCAGAAGCAGAGGAGAAGATTTTCAAAGAATTAATGCATTTTCACCATATAATCATTAGAGTCCCACCTTGACACCTGAACCCCTGCCCCAGGGGCCATGAATTTCACAATTTTGGTAGAGGGCTCAATGTTTATTACAATCATGCCAACAGTTTGACTGCCTGATGTCCAGGAGTAAAGAAGATTTTAAAGATTGCATTAATTTTTATGGTTTTAGTCCCACCCCTCAGGCCCCAGGAGGGCAGGGGCCATGGATTTCACAAAATTTACTCCCCTTTACTCTTAGATGCTATATGCCAAAATTGGTTGAAATTGGTTCTGTGGTTCTAGAGAAGAAGCTAAAAATGCTCAAAAGTTTTAACCGATTGACGACGAACGAAGTACGACGACAGACGAAAACAGATAGCAATAGTGACTCAGGTGACCTAAAAATTGAATTTTCCCCAGAATAAAAACGTTTAATTTCTGGTGACTTTTCACCTTAACGATTTCTGATATTTACATGTACACTGTAAGTAGTTTTCGTCGATTGGTTAGAAATCTAGTGGAACTTGTGGATTCTGCGCAGTAAAAATATATCGTATAATTGAAAAAAATATATATATTTGAAGAAAAACAAAACAAAACAAACACAAAAATAAGTAGAAATAAAAAAAATTAAAGTTCATTATGCAGACAAGAATCGAAGTTAAAAAGTGTTTACTATGTAAGGAAATTAAAACAAAAATGCATACAATAATTTCCTGTTTTTGAATTTTAAAATGATTGTTTAACGCTAAAAACCTTTGACAATACGGCGCACATTCTAACATTTTGATCTTTATCAGAAGATTTCTTTCCCTGCCCATCGGTTTGCCAGTATTGTTGCTAATAACTAATGTTGGCTAGAACTCGAACAATTACTGCAATTATGTCTTTCAAAGTTTTGTTGTCTCCGAGCGAGTAGTGAATTTAACCACACGAATTTTCCCCGTGTCCTGCCCAATCAGTAACGTGTTGCCTTTGAAAATACACAAAGTTTTTAAATTAGGACTCGTTGAATTGTCACCAAAAGGACTCATCAACCTCAAAAAAGTTCCATTCAGGTCAATGATGTGAATAGCGTTACTATTTGAGTCCAGGGATAAGATATTATTATCACAATCTATACAAACGGAAGTGGGACGGAAAGAGTTTTGTCTTCCTTCTCCGCCATCGTAAGCAAATCGGAAGTTGACTGATTGGTCAAATACAGCAATGAAGTGAGACAAGCCCTTCACGGCTGCAATACATATGTCGCCGTTTCCATTACAAATCATGTCTAGCGAACTATCAAATATAACTGTTCCTTTGTTTTTAGGAATGTTTTCTTCGATGCATTTGCCATTATAAGAATATTTCCTGATAGAGGTTCGAACACGTTTAAAAAAGAGGAACCCTCTGTTAATTAAAATGCTTACTACAATTTCTCTGGTTTTTGTGTTGATACATACATTCTTAGGGGTATCTGGGGATACGTTGTCAAAAATTGTTATCACCGGTTCTCCAGTTTCGATCTTCAGGAATCGAATGGTCTTACTTTGAGACTCTACAAGAAATACGGAATTGGAACCAAGTACAGCGAAATCATCGACAAGAACTTCAAAGGCCTGCCTAAAAATAACTTTTCCTGTGGGGTCAACTTGACATATTTCTTTTTTGAAATTTGCCCATACATGTCCGTTATCTGCTGTTTGAAGCACATCTACGCTTTCAAGTCCACTTTCAACATCCGTACCTTCTTTAAAGTATATATCCTCACAAGTCTCTGTTACGGGGGTGTTTACTGGTACCTCTTTCCCTGTCAAACCGGCATGGTTTAGGATTGGCGTCTTTATCGTTGGAGAAACTGATCCGTGTTCTGTAGCAATTCCTGTATCTTTGCATTGTGCAGCAGCATCTTTTTGTTCTGAATTTTCTGCTTCCGCAGAAATACAAGAAGCAGGACTAGGTTTTGAACCATCTAATTCGCCAATCTGTGTACCTACGCTATCTTCATCACTCTCTTCCTGTTCTGTGTCGTTTGATGTTACTCTTTCTGTGTCGTCTGATCTTAAATCTTCCAGAGCGCTTTGCTCATTAACAGGCGAGTCCGGGGCAAGTTCTGAGCTAACCGATTCTCGGAGCGTGCAGATAGGTATGGAGTTATCTAGGGGATCTTTCGTGAAGAAGTCGTTAAAAGTTACAAACGTAGATTTGCCTTCCCTTTTCATTGAAATATTCCTGATGAGTTCTCTGGAGAGCCTTTCCTCACCCTCGCTGTCGGCGGCCATTTCAACAGAAACAGCCTCGTCCATTTTCCCTTATCTGTTAAAAAAAATATTTTACTTACAACTGAAAAAAATGTTCCGGGTTATTTGTATAATTTAAAAGATACAATGTACCACGTAATGGGTATTACTTAATATCCTGTCGTCACCAAACAGGGAACTCTTTCTTTTCAGCAATATACGGTTGTTTTAGTATGTATCATCTCACATTGCATTATAAGTCATTCATCCGTGATATTTTCAATTCGTGCAAATTGTGGCGTTTAATAACCCTAAAAACAAAGATGAGAGAAATATGGTTTTGTTTACCGTTTTCCGTCCGTCTATCTGTTACAAACTATTCCTATTATAAAACTTTGAAGCCTTTGATTTTAATATCGTTGTCCATGATTTATACGCATGGCCGTAGGAACCGGGGTGGGGGGGGGGCCACGCCCCCCCCCCCCCAAAAAAAATTGCCATATATAGAATACTATAGAAAACATAGCTACTACATGCTTGTGCCCCCTCAATAATAACGTCTGATGACCTTTTTTTTTTGTATGGTTGTGCCCCCTCGAAGTGAAATTGCTTCCTACGGGCCTGATACGTTTGTTGCAATTAAATTTCAACACTTTTTATCAATAAGGCGTTTGTTACTTGGCAGTGATTTGCTGAAAGTTCAAAGAGGGTGTTGCAGAAACTCGTGATTTTTCCCTAAATCGAGAAGGACATTTAAATACCCACGACGCATGAAGAGTTATCTCTAAATATAGATAATGCTACGTAGATGACTTTATTTATTCGACGGGTATGTCCAGCTTGTTATAACAAAACATTTCACATTTTACGTTTATTTCATGCTTAGTTTTTTCCTAGCATAGACTGGCGACCTCTAAATAAACTTTTTTCACATCTATGGTCACTGTCGCCATATTGCACGAGAAAAGTTAGAACGATAAAAAGCACAATTAATGCCATTTAATGGCAAGTGCACCTCGCACATCATTTTGAAAGATGTACTGTAGACAGCGTGCGTTTATCTTTTTCAATATATAAAAATGTGTCCAATAATCACGCTGTTGATGCAATATCCAAGAAATCCATTGAGCTGTTGAGTCATTTCAATTTAGTTGTTTCAAGTCAAAGCTGAGCCACTAATTAACAGAACAATAATGAAACGAAATGCGTATGAAAAAAATAAATTATTCAAAATGATAGTACTTTATTTTTTAAGACATCGCCACTAAATAATAACATCAAATATATGTCTTATTAGTTTTAGGTCACAATATCAAGGAAAACAATTTATTATGCATTAAAATAATACCCATTAACTTTCTGACATTCTCTCCTTCCCCCTTTCTCTCTCAAGAGAGATTTTACATTGTATTTCCATTTTATAAGAAAAAAATGTATATATATATATATATATATATATATATATATATATATATACCAGCCATTCCAGGATTCGAATCCATTCTCAAGCAAAAGAATCTTTGCATAAAGTCCACACGCTTTACCACTAGACCAGCTCCGACACTGAAGTATCATGTGCTATTTTATGTGCACATTTTGCATTTCGGGTGGATAATAATTTTATTCGATTTTTGTGATTTTCAAAAATATGCCTCTCTGAAACAAAAATCAGAAATGGCAGTTTTGAAGAAAAATCCTGTCTCTTTATGCGTATATCAAATTCATTCTGTTTCAAGGAGGCAGTTTTTCAGAACAATGGGGATTCCCTATGTGAAAAACAGAAAACGAGACTTATTTTGCTATGTGACTTATTTACCCTTCATTTGATGGCAAATTGGAAGTCGATATGCAGTTTCTAAATATCGCTCTACATTGTGCTGTATATACCGTTGTATCTCAAAAAATTTAAGACCGTTTTCTGATACTTTGAATTTTTCTTGTAAACTGCTACAACTTTAGGGAAAATAACAAAAGAACTGCAACACCCTCTTATATTCAAACTCCTTTTTTCTGCAACAGAAATTTGGGGAAACTTGACTAGAAATTCGTGAACAAATCCATCAGCAAATTCAGAGCTGTGTTTTACTGTTTTAAGAATTTTTGCACATGGAAAAATATGCTGCCTATTCCTAATGTTGACAATATTACATTTAAAACCCATTCCATGTTAAAGGTAATATTACAGGTATACAGAATCTATAACCTTAATGTATATATTCTAGTGAAGAAAAATGCAAATTATACCATGAAAGTCAAACTTACTGGTTAATGTTGAAAATTATACTTCCATTTTAAACTTGAATGTTAAATAGGGTTGCTGGTTTGCCCAGGAAGAAACTCCGGAAAATATCATTTCCTCAGTCTCATACTTACTCGGGAAGATGTCGTGTGCTGTTTTGTTCAGCGATCTCTGACATAATCCAGGAAGGGAAACAGTCACTTGTGACTTGCTTCAGTATTTAACCCCTGTTTAACTCACTGGATTACTAAGTACTGGGTATGGTGATGCAATACCAGTTCTTTTTCTACAAAACTGCATCCTCAGAACGTCAGGAGTCCTGAGTCTAATGGATTGGACTCAGGGCCGATGACATTGTGAGGAATAGACAAAAATGATTCCTGATATTTTCTTTTAAATTCGTTTTAACTCCAGGGAACTTTTACGACGACATATTATCAAATAACAATAGTTACTTCCATTCATATGTCGACTCGATATATCCCAGTGACCTTGAAATAAAAGACACCACAGAGTCTGACATATCTGTTTTATATTTGGATTTTTTTCCTAGAAAAAGACTTTTAATTGTTACCTAACAACAAAGCTTTATGATAAACGTGATGACTTCAATTTTTCAATCGTCAACTTCCCTTACTTATGTAGCAATATACTCTTATCATCTGCATATTGGGTTTTTGTCTCCTAGTTGATTCTAAAACCTATTGACAAACAAGTTGATGAAACAAAGATATCAACAATATCGTTTGCAGTCATCATTTCGCAAGTTTTTTTGGTCGATACAATGACCTTGTCCGAGAATACAACCAAAGCTGACTGACGTTTTTCATACTAATTGTTAGGCCATTATTTACTGAATTTTCTTTAGATATTTCCCTTTTTCTCGATCATGACAAGGAGCACAGGACGGGTGTGACCGGTCGGCAGGGGACCTTGGCATCAGGGGGTCGTAACATAAAGGGTACTTAAATCTAAGACCATGCTTAAATAGGACAGTCTTCGACTTAAGACCGTAACTAGAAGCGTGCTAAGATTTGATAATTTTAGCAAAACTTAGGCGGCCGGTAGAGCCGCTTTAAGTATGTCTCAACTTTCTTATACATATAGTTCGAACTGTTTAATGGTGACTCTCGGCGTTAATACATTCCTCTATTCATATTTTGCATTAAAGAAAATAATTATCTGTATTTAATACTGGTACAAGAATTTTAGTTTTTCAGTGCAGGGGGGGAGGGGGGGGGGTATTGATAACTGATTCTAATAGCACTCTCAACATGGCATAAATGTAAATGCAAAATTTTATTTTTGAACGCAACAAGCCCGGACTCAGACAGGGTTCACTACTGTTCGATCGATCGAGACAAAGAGAGAACTGTTGGTGGTAAGTTGGAGACATATGAAAAATTATCTTCTGAAAACAATTCTTTCTTTTCCTTGATTAAATTGTAAATAAGTATATCATAAAACGTCTACAGTCTTTGCTTGCTGAAATGGGCTTATACATCGGGGGGGGGGGGGGGGGGGTTAAAAAATGCCCCTATTGTTCATGGACCCATTCTAAAAAAAATTGTTATAACTTTCAAATGACTTTTTGCTTGTATAATTTTATTGCCAGAAAAATTACATTTTTTCAGTGCAGGAACATTAATTTGAGACTCTAAATAATTGACCATGCGAAATAATTTGTTGTCACAAATTCTAATGTGTCTATTCAAGATGAAATAAAACTTGTATTTGTTCCCATAATTTATTTGAATAAAAAAAAATATTGTAGGAAAAACTTTAAAAATTAATTTACGTGTTAGACGTAATTACAGTGTTTTGATGTTTTGAACATAATTTTTATTGACATAAGCAAATGGATCAGAAACAAGTTCTTACAGCTTACTGGTTTCTCTCCTTAAATATAACAATTGTTATATTACAGTGCAAAAAGCATTTCGACACTTACCAAGTTAACTGATCTGGCCAGTGACCTATATACAGTGTACTAATACATTATATATACTACCTAATACTAGTAAATGGGCCCCTGGTCTGGTCAAAAGTAACTGGAAAAGTACGTAAGGTTCAATCTAACTTAAGCGGATTCGGAACATCTAATTTTAATAAGATTGCGTTAGGTTTTGATAAGAATAAGATTTTATATTTCTATTTTTATTTCAATGACTTAAACAGACAGGGGAGGTGAATTTTGGGGTTATATTTTGAACACACTTAATTCAAGATCTGCTGCATGCGCGGATCTAGAAGGGGGGGGGTCGGACCCCCCCTCCTGGAATTTAAAAGTATATACTGATCAGAAGCAAATAAATAATGACTTTGAACCCCCCCCTCCCCCCTTAGAAAACCCCACCCTCACCACCACGAAATAGGTATTTTGCAGATTTGAGAAATGGAATTCCATAACTTTTAGCCTTTTTCTTTTCTTTTTTTTTTTGCTTGTCAAGAAATTTTTGGGATGGAAATGTTTTTTTGACTGAGGTACGTGGCCTCCTCCTCCTCCCCCCCCCCCCCCCCCCCCCCCCGGCCACCTCTGAAAAAATTCCTTGATTCGCGCCTGTGCTGTCCATAAAATTCTCATTTTGACCCCTTTTTATAGGGGTAAAATTTTTGTAGACAACCCATGACCAATTACGTTGAGAGATTGGACAGTGTATTGATATCGAGTTGTGCTGTAGTTTACCGGATTTACAGGTCAGAATAAAGTTGATTTTTATATATTTGTTTACATCCGATTTTCGAATTTTCTCGGTAAAGTTGGCGCGAAGGTACTGATGCTCAAATGCTTAATCAGAGCTAAAGAAGTTAACCTGGTTAATGCATACATAATTTGGAGGTAATTTTGTAAGCAAAATAAAGACCATAGATATGTATAGTCCATGATTTATTCCCATTGCCACACTTCATTGAGTTGTGACAAGTCAGCAACTTTCGTTTCATCCCTAAATTAAAATTTTATCCTGGTTCTTGATGACTCCCAAAGTAAACATGATGCAGTATTCATCATACTAATTTGACCATAACATGAACTAAACCAACTGAGAATATATTGTATTTAGAGACCTATGTCATTGTATGTCTCTGATGTAGCTGATGAACACAGATTTTTTTGTCTGTTGCAGTGGTTATATTACGTTTATTACACCAGAATGGCAGAGTCGAAGACAAATCATCCAACAAAGAACAAGAACAGGCAGGGAAATGGCTGGGAAGAAAGAGTAAGTGTTTTGTACACTGTCCTACGTATGCTTGTATAAATTATTTATTTTAATTCAGGGGGTAGGGGTGGGTGGTTGAGTGCCAGATTTATCTGTCCTCGACTTGCAAGAATAATTAATATGTCTTTGAATGGTGCTACCCCCATCCCCCTGAAATAGAATTTTTGAGTTTGGGCATTTTAACCCCCAACCCACTCTAACACCCATGCACGATATAGAATTTTGAGCGTGGGTGTTTTATCTTTTCTTTTCTTTCTTTTTAGGTCACCTGAGTCACTCATGGGTCAGATGTTCTGTTGTAAGGGTGGGGTTCTATTGATAATAAAGTGAAAATGCATTAATTCTATTAAAGAATCCCGTCTGTTCTTTGGTGTTGAGCAGATAAACAAAGTGCGTAGTTTTTATGAACAAGGGTGCTTACAAAATTTTTAAACCTTGTGGTCCCAGGGTCAGGGGTTTTGGTGTTTCTCGGGTGGGATAGGGCGTATTGATTATATAATGGAAATGTTAATTCTTTGAAAATCTTCCATTAAGTGCATAGTTATGATGATTAGGATATCTTCCAAATTTGTGAATTTCCTGACCCTGGGTCATGGGTTCTGGTGGTTGTGTTGATCGAATCTGTAGTGAAAATGCATTATTTCTTCGAAAATCTTCTCTGCTCCTAGGCCTGGACATATCGGAAGCAGAATAAAAGTTTTAATAAGCAAGGATATTTTTAACAGATTTTTGAGCATTTGGACTATTTGGTCAAGTGTTCTAGTCCTGGCCCCAAGATCATGAAACACTTAAGTCAAATTTTCAATCACCTGTAAAATATTTATTAATTATTTAATTAATCTCTAAATTTGCAGATAAAAACACTTTTGTAATGCAGTATTGAAAATTATTCTAATTTTGGTCTACTTTATAATGCCTACAATACTTTAGTACAACATAAAGATTTTGACTTAAGCTTAAGATCTTTCATGATCCCGGGGCCTGACCAAGGTTCTATTAATTTGTTTTCTACTGAGAGAAGTTATTCCCCTTTGCCATTCACTTTTGATAATTAATCACTGTAAATAATGTATTTGAAAGGTTAATAGAGAAAGAGAATTATGCAAGGATTTTTATTGTATAATAATTTATAAGAAGTACCGGTACTTTCATAGTTTTAATGATCATGTAGACTTGTAAATAATAGATAAATAAAAATGAGACAAAAACAAGCATTCTGAGAGTATTGCATTAGCAATACTAGTCCCCTACCGACAAGTGTAATCTGGTTCCCGTCAAAAATTGAAAATGTCATAATTCCGTTAAAAATCATTGAAGCAGAACGAAATGCAAACTTGGTCAATAAGTAATCAAGGTTAATTCACATACCAAAAATCAGCTCAATATCTGCAAGTGAGTAGAAGAAAATTGTGGAAAACCCTTAAAAATTGAAAAGGCCGTAATTCCATCAAAAATCAATGAAGCGGAATGAAATGCAAACTTGATCTGTAACTCATCAAGATACACTCACATACCAAAAATCAGCTCAATATCTGCAAGCGTTTAGGAAAAAAATGCGGAAAACCAAGTGGGACAGACAGAGGGTCAGACAGACAGACAGACGGACAGACAGATGGACGGACAGACACAGAGGAAACCTATAGTCCCCTCCGGCTTCACCGGTAGGGGACTAATAACTTATCAAATGTTCTTCAAAGATCAAGAAAGGCCAATGTGAGAGGTTATAATATTGGGTTTAAATAGTACAGAAGCACAAATAGTTTGTCAATAGTCTGCATTGTGATAGTATTAAATGGGGGACAGATTAAACTTAATTTATGAGTTGTTACTAAATGGTAGACTAATTATTTTGTTGATCCTGATCATCCTATTTCTCTTGCTTTTGGGCAACAAAGCTTCGTCTATCAGTTTATTTTATTCTCAGTATATGGATCCTCTAAATTGTTGTAACTTTTGATCAGTTGGTGCTAGGGCTTTCATACTTCACATATGTAATCCTTATGACAAGACCTTCCATTGGATACCAACCACTTTGACCCTTTGACCTTGACCTAAGAGTTTGACCTACTTTTAAAAAAACTTTAAGCTTGGCCATAACTTTTGAACGGTTAGGACTAGGGCTTTCATACTTCACATATGTTATCCTTGTGACAAGACCTTCCTTTAGATATCAACAACTTTGATCCTTTGACCTTGACCTTGGAGATTGACCTACTTTTAACAAACTTTAACCTTGGCCATAACATTTGAACAAGTGTTGCTAGGGCTTTCATATTTCACAAGTGTATTTCTTGTGAGAAGACTTTGGGTACCAAGATATTTGATTTGCATTTGAGAAAGTTTAACCTTCGCTATAAGTTGCCATACAGGGGCATCAGTGTTTTACAAACACATCTTGTTTTTTTTTTTTTTTGCTCATCAAACTTTTTTATTGAACAAGAAAGTAAAATAAACAAGAAGTGTTTGTGAAACACTGATGCCTCAGTAAGGCAACTTATAGCGACGGTTAAACTTTCTCAAATGCAAATCAAATTTGTTGGTACCCAAAGTAAGGTCTTGTCCCGAGGAATATACTTGTGAAATATGAAAGTCTTAGCAGCAACCATTGAAAGGATATGAAAAAGTTTTTCAAAAGTAAGTCAAACATCAAGGTCAAGGTCAAAATTAATTTTGGCCAAGGAAAGACCTTCTCACAAGAAATACACATGTGAAATATGAAAGCCCTAGCAACAACCGTTCAAAAGATATGGCCAAGATAAAGTCTTTCAAAAGTAGGTCAAACTCTAAGGTCAAGGTCAAAGGGACAAAGTTGTTGTTATCCAGAGGAAGGTCTTGTCACAAGGATATCGTAAGTGAAGTATAAAAGCCCTAGCACCAAATGCTCAAAAGTAATGGCCAAGGTTAAAGTTTTCCAAAAGTAGGTCGAACTCAAAGGTTAAGGTCGTTGAATTACAATTGTTGGTATCCAATGGAAGGCCTTGTCACAAGTAATACACATGTCAAGAATGAAAGACCTAGCACCAACTGTTCAATAGTTGTGGCCAAGTTTAAAGTTTTCCAAAAGTAGGTCAAACTCTAAGGTCAAGGTCAAAGTTGTTGGTATCCAATGGAAGGTCTTGTCACAAGAATTACATATGTGAAGTATGAAAGCCCTAGCACCAATGGTTCAAAAGTTATGGCCAAGGTTAAAGTTCTGTAAAATTTTACAAAACTGGATCAAACTCCAAGGTCAAGGTCAAAAGGTCAAATATAATGGTACCCAAAGAAAGGTCTTGTCACAAGGAATACATATGTGAAATATGAAAGCCATAGCTCCAACCAATTAAAAGTAATGAGCAATGTTAAAGTTTTTGTGGACAAACAGACGGACGGATAGGGCAAAAACTATATACCCCCAAATCTTCGATACAGGGACAGAAAAACATGTTGCTGGAAAAAAAGGCATGCTGCCGCACCATGCTAGCTTGCTTTAGATTTAACACTATTCAACATTTGTACTATATATTCAAAAGATGTTTTGTAAGGAGGGCACCATTGCTGAAACTAAAACTAATACCAGAGCCAATGATGGAAATCAGGGAAACTTCCAGAGAAAATATGACAATTGCAGAAAAAAGTTTAGGGTCTGGGGTATAAAATAGATGGTCGAGTAACTGGAACCATTCAAATTTTTTCATTTGGCCTTATCTTCAAAATAAATAATCTGTCCTTGACTGGCATGAAAATATATGATATATGACTCAAAAAAATATAAATATTAGAGATGGCAACAAATATTCGATTATTTGAATATTCATTCGATGAGTTGATATTCGAATATGAATTTAAGATTCGAATATTCGGTGTTTTTCAGATTTAATAAAAAGAAGTACTGTGATTAATAGATTTTGATTAGGACAATGCTGGAATCATCCCTGTTTAATTTACTTCTTTCACTACTTTCTTATCTTTTAAATCTACTAAATTACATGTATTTTGTTTTGAGTAAGGTGTTAAAGAATTGTACAAAAATGCTTTATGTATAATACAAAATGTACTTCCATAGTTTTTATTAGTTAGATATGATCGGATCTAGAATCGAGGACAAAAATGAAATGTAAGAATGTCTAAAAGGCGTAAAGAGTATACTTAACAAAATAAAATTAATTGATCATTGAATGAATGTCCGATAGAATTAATCTGTAATTAATATTGTATAGGGCTTAATTTCAGAATAAATGTGTAAATTACTTGATTTTCTCGGGTTGTACATAATCCTGAATTTTATATTCATTATCTGGAAATAAGTTAATTACCTAGGAAAATTGTCTATGGAAATATTTGTTATGCCCCGCCATGAATATGGCTGGGGCATATAGTGTTTGTCATGTCCGTCTTCCGTCCTTCTGTCCTTCCGTCCTTCTGTCTGTCCTTCCGTCACACTTTGCATTTAGCTCTGTTCAAAGCTCAGTTTCAAAGAAACTATCCAAGATATTTTTATCAAACTTCATATGCTGATACATACTGATGAGAGCTATTCAACTGCATCAACATTTTTTGACCTTGACCTTTCTTTTGACCTTGACCTCACTTTTCTTAAATTAGTGTTTAGCTCAGTTTTAAAAATACCATCCAAGATATTTTTATCAAACTTCATATGCTGATACATACTGATGAGAGCTATTCAACTGCATCAACATTTTTTGACCTTGACCTTTCTTTTGACCTTGACCTCACTTTTCTTAAATTAGTGTTTAGCTCAGTTTTAAAGATGCCATTCAAGATAGTGTAATCAAACTTCATATGCTGATACATACTGATGAGAGCTATTCAACTGCATCAACATTTTTTGACCTTGACCTTTCTTTTGACCTTGACCTCACTTTTCTTAAATTAGTGTTTAGCTCAGTTTTAAAGATACCATTCAAGATAGTGTAATCAAACTTCATATGTTGATACATACTGATGTAAGTTATTCAACTGCATCAACATTTTTTGACCTTGACCTTTCTTTTGACCTTGACCTCACTTTTCTTAAATTAGTGTTTAGCTCAGTTTTAATGAAACCATTCAAGTTATTTTTAACAAACTTCATATGCTGATACATACTGATGAGAGCTATTCAACTGCATCAATATTTTTTACCTTGACCTTTCCTTTGACCTTGACCTCACTTTTCTTAAATAAGTTTTTAGTTCAGTTTTAAAGATACCATTCAAGATAGTGTTATCAAACTTCATATGCTGATACATACTGATGAGAGCTATTCAACTGCATCAACATTTTTTGACCTTGACCTTTCTTTTGACCTTGACCTCACTTTTCTTAAATTAGTGTCAAACTTTATATGCTGATACATACTGATGAGAGCTATTCAACTTTATCAATATTTTTTGACTTTGACCTTTCCTCTTACCTTGACCTAACTTTTCTTTAATTAGTGTTTAGCTTAGTTTTAAAACCATTCATAATATTTTTATCAAACTTCATATGCTAATACATACTGATGTAACCTTTCAACTGCATAAACAATTTTTTTCTGACCTTGACCTTTCATTTGACCTTGACCTCACTTTTCTTAAATTTGTGTCAAACTTCATATGCTGATACATACTAATGTAAGCTATTCAACTGCATCAATATTTTTTCACCTTGACCTTTCCTTTGACCTTGACCTCACTTTTCTCAATTTGTGTTAAAATGTTGCATTACTAATATACCCTCGGCGGGGCATTCATGTCCTATGGACATATTTCTAGTTTACATTGTATCAAAGATTATAATCATATCTCTTATCAGGTAGATAATTGTAATTCATTACACGTATCGAAATCTGAACAGTGTACCGTTACGACTATCTTGCCTTTTGTAAGACGACTGGTTCCTCAGTTGGAGCTACTATAAATAGGTTTCATTTGTTAAAATTATACTTTTCTACATTTAAATCAATTATTTATTTCAAACATTGACAAATATCAAATGGAATTTCTTATTGTACACCTACAAAAGTCTTCATACAATTTTACTTCCAATATAAGTATACCTACTCTAAACCTTTCATGAGAGTAGGATGATGCATATTTAAAATAAAACAGAGTTATTTATTTCATCGAATATTCGAATATATTCGAATACTTTCATTGAATATTCGAATATGAATTAATGACAAAATTGACATCCCTAATAAATATACATGTATATAGTACACAACCAGTATATCCCCAACCCCTTTCTTGAAAATAGAGGGTATATAGTGAGGATAGTGTCTGTCTGTCCATTACACTTGGGGGTTGGCATCTCTTATCAGCAACTCCACCGATACCACTGAATAAAATTAGGGATGTCAAAATATTTATTTTCCTTAGTCGATTATTCAGTTGCATTATTCGAACGATAGTCGAATATTCGGAACATTTTCTGAAAATAAAAGTTTATTTCAAACTTCACTGGTACATGACGTATTTGTAACTCAAAAAACCTTTTACATAAATCTATTTAAAACGTAACATCCAAATTAATGCAACGTAACGTGTGGATAGCCATGATTATATGAAATAAATTAAGACACCCAATTCTCCAAAATATATAATTTCCCCGTCAATTGAATTCATAAATCGATCTAAACAGTCAATTTTTGTTATAGTAAGCATTATTTAAAAATTGCCAGCCGATATATTTTTAATTTTTTTTATTTATTTATTTATTTATTTAAGCTTATTATAAAATAAATAAAAATTAGGTTCTCATGATATTGTTAAACAGATACTACTTATTCAATTGATTGCCCCGGCTATCAAAATGTCCTTAAAATGTAAGCGGATTGTTTTAATAATAATCGAAGTGTCAAAACATGTCACGGCTATGTTGTGTTCCTTGGATTTGAGCAATCCGAAAATTAAAAAAATATAATTGGTACAGGGTATAAGTATATTAATAATTTTCCAAACAAAGTCCAGTAATTTGATGGGTAATTTATTACAAAAACAACACAGGCAGTAACTGACATATACTTCCCGCGTTGGTGAAGCACTAACAATTACTTTACTTTCTAAATAAGCACACGGAAAGTCAATCGTTTTTTGTTGAGGAAAATTAAAGATGAGAATTCCATCTCGTTAAATCACTCTTTTATTGCATTTATTTAATAATAATAATATTCGAATGTCGTTTCATTATTCCATCGTCGGTCCATTTGACTGATAGTCGAATAGTCGACTATTTGTTGACATCCCTAAATAAAATGTAATGAGACTTTCACTGAATATTAATTACATAGGGCCATTGTGTACCTCATATTTTACATTTTGATTTGGACAGATATATGGGCTTTCCCATAGCAAAAGATGACTTTGCCATTATACTTAAATGGGAGAGGGGGGTATCATTTTGTGAGCTCAGTACTCACAGTACCTCTAATTTATTTTTTAGGTCACCTGAGTCACTCAGGTGACCTATTGCTATCTGTTTTCGTCCAGCATCGTCCGTCATGTGTTAACATTTGAACATTTTCAGCTTTTTCTCTGAAACCGCTGAACCAATTTCAGCCAATTTTAGCATATGGCATCTATGTGTGAAAGGGAACAACATTTGTGAATTTCATGGTCTCTGCCCCCTCTGGGGCCTGAGGGGTGGGGCTAAAACCACCAAAATTAATGCAATCTTTAAAAATCTTCTTCTTTACTCCTGGACATCAAGCAGTCAGACTGCTGGCATGATTGTAATAAGCACTGAGCCATCTACCAAAATTGTGAAATTCATGGCCCCAGGGTCAGGGGTTCTGGTGCTAGGGCTGGGCTATAAAGATCATATAGTGAAAGTGCATTATTTCTTTGAAAATCTTCTTCTCTTCTCCTGGATATTATTGAAACAAATTGAATACATAGTTATGATAAGCAAATGTCAATGAAGTAATGTACCTAATGTAGGTGCTTCGTTTAACCAGAAGGAGTGTTTTGATGGGGTTTAACCAATGAGATTTGTTGTTTTAAAATTGACTGCATTTGAAATGAAAGTAAAACAAGTAAAGAAAGTCATATACAAAATATTTCCAAATAACATCGCTAAAAATTGAATGTGCACTTTGGCACCACCATTTTATGTTGATGTAGAGTGTTAAATCCATGAATAATCTCAATAGATATGATAAGGATGTTGACACAGTAAAGAAATAGAATGGATCTGTAATAAATCTCTATTGTTTGTAAAATATTTAGTTGGTACTAAACAATTGTTATATTTTGTGAGTTGGTACTAAACGGTTGTTATATTTTGTGAGTTGGTACTAAACGGTTGTTATATTTTGTGAGTTGGTACTAAACGGTTGTTATATTTTGTGAGTTGGTACTAAACGATTGTTAAATTTTGTGAATTGGTACTAAATGATTGTTATATTTTGTGAGTTGGTACTAAACGGTTGTTATATTTTGTGAGTTGGTACTAAACGGTTGTTATATTTTGTGAGTTGGTACTAAACGATTGTTATATTTTGTGAGTTGGCACTAAACGATTGTTATATTTTGTGAGTTGGTACTAAACGGTTGTTATATTTTGTGAGTTGGTACTAAACGATTGTTATATTTTGTGAGTTGGTAGTAAACGATTGTTATATTTTGTGAGTTGGTAGTAAACGATTGTTATATTTTGTGAGTTGGCACTAAACGATTGTTATATTTTGTGAGTTGGTACTAAACGGTTGTTAAATTTTGTGAGTTGGTACTAAACGGTTGTTATATTTTGTGAGTTGGTACTAAACAGTTGTTATATTTTGTGAGTTGGTACTAAACGATTGTTAAATTTTGTGAATTGGTACTAAATGATTGTTATATTTTGTGAGTTGGCACTAAACGATTGTTATATTTTGTGAGTTGGTACTAAACGGTTGTTATATTTTGTGAGTTGGTACTAAACGGTTGTTATATTTTGTGAGTTGGTACTAAACGGTTGTTATATTTTGTGAGTTGGTACTAAACGATTGTTATATTTTGTGAGTTGGTACTAAACGGTTGTTATATTTTGTGAGTTGGTAGTAAACGATTGTTATATTTTGTGAGTTAGTAGTAAACGATTGTTATATTTTGTGAGTTGGTAGTAAACGATTGTTATATTTTGTGAGTTGGCACTAAACGATTGTTATATTTTGTGAGTTGGCACTAAACGATTGTTATATTTTGTGAGTTGGTACTAAACGGTTGTTAAATTTTGTGAGTTGGTACTAAACGATTGTTATATTTTGTGAGTTGGTACTAAACAATTGTTATATTTTGTGGTAGGGAGGTTATATGGCTGCAAAGAAACAAAAGTTGACTGAGCAGTTTCTTGGAGGGGGAACAGGAATGGGGACAGTGAAATCCCACATATTCCATGGTATTGTGATTCATGTGGATGGATATACAAGTAAGTTTTTTGTGAAGGATATTCAATAGTTTTGGAAACATGCTGTTTTTTTTTCATTATTCTTTGCTTAATGCAAAGAATAATGAAAAAACAATAAAGGAATTATACTACTGAGTGATAAAATTTGTCTATTTTTTCAATGAAATTAATTTTGCATACTCTTCACTTCTTCCAATATGGCATATCTCTCCTCCCAACCCACAGAAAAAAAATAATATGCAGGCATCATATGAGTTCATCTTTATCTCAAAAACCTGTAGTAGAGTCTGTCTGAATAGCATTGTTAATTTTACAATTCAATTGTTTAATACTTGGACTATAAAATATTTACCACCTACTAACATTCTTTTCTTTAGAGCCATCTTCTGATGAGTTGAAACGGATTATGTACCAATATGGTGGTCATTATGAACACTACCTATCTAAAAGAAGAGTTACCCATATTATAGCTACCAGTCTCCCAAACAGCAAAATTACAAAGGGACTGAAGCATTGCAAAGTGGTCAAGCCTGAGTGGATTACAGAAAGGTCAGTTGGAGATAAGTAAGAAATTGTGTAAAAATAGACAACAACCAGGGTTTGTTTGCTACTAACAGTTGCTTGGTATTATTTAAACAAAATGAATGAGATTTTACTAACTGTGCATATTTGTCTCAGTCAATGGCAGTGAATTTATATTCCCCTAGAAATAAGAAAGAATGCCATAATTCAAGTTGTTTATTTGTAGCAAATAAACAGCTGCAAAGCAGAATTAATAAGTAAGCCAGATACCAAACATTTTGCAGAGTCGGCTTATTGCTTTTCATGAAATGGTTCCTACTTACAAGTTTACCCATATAGAATGTTGGCAAGAAGGTGTCTACAATTTGAAAAAAGAAAACATTCTGAGAGCCTTATTCAGTAATCTGACAACTTGTGTATCTGTTATTTCAGTGTGGCTGCTGGGAGACTTCTATCATACATTCCCTATCAGCTGTACACTGGCCAGACCAAAATCCAACAAGGCATGTCCACTTACGCTACAGAGTCATCAACAAAAATCTGCAACTCCTCCGTTGCAGGCATATGTACCAAAAATGCTTTGAGCAGAAATCTGGTAGGTGAGAGTAGTAGATGTGGAAATTTGGTGGAGAAAGAGGATGAGGAAGAACAGGATATGGATGTGGAGAGGCAAAGTAGGATGGAAAAGATTGTGAGGGAAGTGGAGAGTGGATCAGAGGAGAGTGATTCAGACAATGAGTTTGGAAGATATACACTGGAATCTGATCAAAAACAGGCTATCCTGGATGATTCTTTGGCAAATATTAGTGTAAGTGAAAATGAGGATTCCACTTCAAGCATATTGAATGAAAATGAGACGGAAGGTGCTGGCACTTCAAGGGTAGCAAGTAAGGGTGGAGCCATAGGAGGCCCAAATCATTCAATTTCTAAAATAACAAAAAGTCCTTCGCCTAACAGCAAGCCTCATGGAAGAGCAGGTGATCCAGATTATCTGAATGAGTTCTACAATAACTCAAGGCTCCATCATCTTTCCACATGGAAATCTGAGTGGAGAGAGTATGTCAACAAAACATCCAAAGAGCAGACATGTTATCCAGGCAGACAGGCACTGATGAAGCTTGTGAGTGAACAGGAAGCTGACTTAGAGGCTAGGGACATGGGCTTAGAGGGGTTCAGAAGCACAATGTCAGGGAAACCAAAACGAGTCATAATGCATGTCGACATGGATTGTTTTTTTGTGTCTGTGGGTCTGCGGAAAAGGCCAGATCTTATTGGTGAGATTTTATAAGGACTATTTTTTTCTGAATATGGTGATTATATACTGTATGTGTACATAAATTGACATATTCAAAATTTAGCGCAATCACTGGGTATTGAGTAGTTGGCATAATCATGAATTAGCGCTACACACGTCCGCGTCATATTTTGTATTTAAATGATTTTTAACAGTATATTCATGAATTAGTGCATTGTTGTCCACGTCAAAGCCACTAAAATATGAAGCCCTCTTTTTGTAGTACACATACAGTATTAAATTTCAAGTGCTGACACCATTCATTTTTATTTAGTGTAAATGCAATATTCAGGTTTTTTTTTTATTTTATTAGAATTACATGAACTACCATATCATGGGTAATTTTTGCAATGATTCAATTTTAGATTAAAAAAAAAATAAAATTTGCAGTAAATTGTCATTGATTGTTTACTGTGTAGATTGCACAGATAGCTCTATTAAAACTGGGTTAATCACAAAAATGTTTTGGCATATTTTTGCAAAAATTGTGATATGCTAAAAAACATTATACTGTAGCAAAATGCCCTTTTTCCAGGCAAGCCTGTTGCAGTTACACATTCTAAAGGCCAAGGTAGAAAAGGACCTATTCCTGGGTCAGACATTGAATATGAACAAAAAATGTGGAGAAGTATAAAAAATAAAAGTAAATCCACAAATCCAGACCAGCAGTCTAAGTTGAACAGCAGTGCGGAGGAATTTGGAAGAAAAGGAAATCTGGATGCATTTTCTTCTATGGCTGAATTAGCTTCTTGTAGTTATGAAGCAAGACAGGTGAGTAGATCTTATTAAACCAAAAGACTTACCAGAAGTCAAATATACAGTATAGAGCATTATGAATCCTATTTTGATCATAGAAAGAAGAATCCCTTTAAAATTCTTATCACATATTTTTTAAAGAACTGAATCCCAATTTCATGTAAATATCTGGCTTCTTATACGGTGAATTTCAGGCTGGTGTTAGAAATGGAATGTTTATGGGTCCTGCCAAAAAATTATGCCCTGATCTGCATACAATTCCATATGATTTTGAAGGCTACCAAGAAGTTTCAAAAATACTCTATGATACTGTTTTAAGGTGAGTATCATTAGATTTTTTGAAATCTTACTTGTAAACAATGATAGATAATAAGACTTTTTACTAAGAGTACAACTTAATTTCTCAGCTACACACATGACATCGAGGCAGTGAGCTGTGATGAAATGTTGGTTGATTGCACAGATCTCCTAGCAACCACAGGCGCTAAACCAGAACAATTTGCTTCTCTGTTGAGGAATCAAATACATCAAAAGACAGGCTGCACTGCCTCAGCTGGAATGGGTAGGAAATACTTTACAAGATATTGTTTTCAAGTTATCCAGGAATATGTTCTGAAACAATTGTTTTCTGAATTTCAGGAGGAAATATATTACTTGCAAAAATGGCTACAAAAAAGGCCAAACCAAATGGACAGTTTTACTTGAAGGAAGCAGATGTTATGGACTTCATGAAAGACCAGTCGGTTCAAAATATTCCAGGTAGGTCATATTTCCTTGTTATTATAATTCTCTACCAAAACTTAGAAGTCTACAGTACTATAATGCTCAATTTAATGTCAGTTCATAATCATTTAAATGTTGAAATTTTTATTTCTCATTTTTATATCTTAATTATCACTAAAATTTTAAATTTTTACATGTATTTTGAAAAAGAGTATCTTTTTATATTAATATTATTCCTTTTATAAGGTGTAGGGTGGTCAATGAATAGAAAGTTGAAATCTATGGGGATCATAACCTGTGGTCAACTACAGGAGGTGCCTCAGTCTACCCTACAGAGGGAGTTTGGGCCTAAGACAGGATTATCCCTGTATAGGGGTTGTAGGGGACAGGATGAACGACAGATCAAAACCAACCAGGAGAGGAAGTCTGTATCAGCTGAAGTGAATTATGGGATCAGGTTTAAATCTGTAAGAAACTCATTCACTCAAGAACTTCTTTCATATTATTCGTTTACTGAGCCAATGGCAAAAGTGAGCTTTTCTGATCAAAGAGACAGCATCTGTCTGTCTGTCTCGTGTTGTTTGTAAACTTTTGGCATTTTGAACTTCTTTACAAGAACCATAAAGCCAGTTTTGATCAGTCTTGCCACAAAACATCTTTGGGTGAAGGGATTTGAGATTTGTTCAAATAAAAGGTCTTACTCTCTCTCAAAGGGAGATACTGAAAACATATTTTTTTTGCATAGGATTAATTTACTGTATGAATGTGAAACAAATTTTTCATTGGAATCTACCACAATGTACTTAAAGTGCATTTAAGACATAAAATGACAATAGAAGAAACTGCGTAATTTTTCTCTTGGGATTAAAATGAAATTGTTATTCCGCAGAAAAATGACCATATGGAAACAAATATGTTAATAGTAATAAGGAAATAGCAAAAATTTGGTGACATCTTTTAAAGATTTTATATATTTTTTTATAAGTACCGGGAACATTGTGGCCCATGGAGGGTGGGGATTAGGTGGAGCCAAATTGTGCATAATGCAGAAGACAAAAATATATATAATATGGAAAATTAAAGAATTTAAATACCTATGCACTTGTTAGAATCTTAAGAGTGTTTTGAAGTAAAAATCATTTCATTCTTGTTATAGAATACAGAAGCAGACAAGTTTATAATGGATTTATCACAGGAAGTTCACAGTCGTCTGCATGAAATTGGAATGAAGGGAAAGTCTGTGACCTTGAAATTGATGGTCAGAAGAGAAGATGCTCCACCTGAAACTGCCAAATTCATGGGTACATATATAGCTTTTTTACAACATGTTTAAGTATTTTAAAAATATGAATACTGTCATATGTCAAACTGATGGTAGCAAATGAAGACAAAAACTGAAAATCTATGTATATTTTAAATTTAAGGGTATTTTTCTTCATAGATTTTTTGTTCCCAAGATAGAAGATCACAAGCATATTGGTTGTTTTTCTCTTTTTGATCTTTGTCTTTTCTTGTCAAAAAAACTTTTAAATTAATATTAATGATATATGCATAAACATGTGTACATCATTACAGCTGAAGTGTTCTATGTACTTGGTCATTTCAAGGCTATGATCATAATTTAAAGTCAAAACGGAAATTTTTTCACATGATAAATTTCCACTGCCAGGGCATTGTGCTTTGTAAACATACCTTTTTAAATGCAATATCTTATAATGAAATAAATGTTTCTTAATTACAAGGTCATGGAATTTGTAACAACATCTCAAAATCCACTATGTTGCCAATGGCAACAGATGATGCCAGTTTGATACACCAGGAGTGTATGACTATCTTACAAGGACTGCGACTTGACTGTACAGACTTGAGGGGAATCGGAATCCAGGTGCAGAAGTTAGAGTCAGCAGTTGTTGGTGGAAACAATCAGATGAAATCGCAGAGCATTCTCAATTTTGCTACAAGTAGGTCAACTTAATAGATCATTGACATTTTCTATTGGATGTCTAAAAAAAATTTAAAGCATATTTTACAAGAGCAAGTTATGTAAGAAAATAGTCATATGTCATTATCTCGAACTTGATAAGACCAATGAGAAATTGAGATTTCTGAGGATTCACAATATCAAGGTTTAAAATACATAGAGAAAAAGTGGTTGGGACTAGCAACTCACTTCGACATGTCCATGGTATTCAAGATATTAGTGTTTGAGATACCAGTTTTTTTAAACTGTAGATTTGCCTTCATGTGAAAACTCATAATGAAATAGGATACATGAAAATAAATAATTTGTCCAAATATGCTAATAAGTACATGAAAAAAAAATTTTAAATATGTTTTCAGAAGTGTTGGCTACAAAAACAAGTCCCCACAAGCCAAATGGCATGGAAACCAACAGTCGTGATCAGATTGCAAAATCGACACTCGATGGAAAGCTGAGAGATCCAGGTAACACTGTAAGTCATAAAAGTAAATCCACAGATGTCCAGATTGATGCAGAGGAAAGACACTGGACTGACACACTGCTAAGTCTGGATAGAGAAGTGAGTCCAGATAAAACCAGTCCAGATGGATCTTCGGAACTTTACAAACACATAGAGAATGCTTTTTCCACCAATCAGAACACTGAAGAAGAAAGTTGTGATGGAGAGGGTCATTTTCTAGAAGGGGCAGTTTGTCAAGACCTACTTTCAGAATTGTCTAGGTATGCTAAAACTCTCAGTTGTTCTGGTCAAAATGCACATTTTAAATAGCTTTAAATTTATTGTCAGTTTTTTTTTTGTTGATATTTTTTTTTCATTGCAGTTGGTCCATTGTTATAAAGAAAATTCTATCTGATAAATAATTGTTTTCATCTGACAATATGTATTTGAAAAAACGTATATTGATAACATTTTGATTAATTTTTACAAGGAGAAAAACGGCCAACAGGTTTCTTCCCCCCTTACCGACACTCGACATTCCCTCAACACCTGAGTACAGACACCTACTAATCAGACCCAGAAGCACCTGTACACAGGAGAGTACCTCCGTGGTTAATGGTACCACTGTGGATTATTTCCCATCACCCTCACAGGTATTTATATCTGTACTCTAGAAAACACAAGTGCAATAAATGATAACATCAACATCTAAAGATGTTCAAATCTATAAATTATAAAGAACTTGTTATGTAGTACATGTATTAATTTATGATTAAAGTCATTGCAGTGAAATGGTTACAATGAACACATTTACAATGAATTCATTCTTACAGGGAAGTGATTTTATTCCCTGAAGTTTTAAAATGTATTATAAACTTATCATATAATAATGAAATTTGCTATATTAAGGTAAAAATTCCCAAATGAAAAGCAGATTGAATTTTTCAGTGCTTTTTATATTTAAAAAAAAACCTTGAATTTTGAGAGTTTAATGATTCATAAAGAATGAAAGGGAATAAGTCTTAAATCTAACTCTTTATTCAAGAGTAAAACAATATTTCCAATTTTTGCTACCTTTCCCAATTGGGAGGGTACTAGCTGCAGAACTGTAGCATTATGGTTGTATATTTTATCCACCTCCTAACCATTTATAGTTGTCTCTACAGACCAATAAACTTGTTATGCCATCCAACAACAAATTCACAACAAGCGAGTTCATTGGTCTGTAGAGACGACTATAAACGATTAGGAGGTGGATAAAATATACAGGTTGGTTATAGAATATGTCTAAAATTAGGGGATGAAAGGTTTTTGATTGACCAATGCTGGAAAGTGGCGAAATACATCCCCAAAGTGCGCAGAAAATCTTGCACGGTAAATTGCACTTAATTTACATTACTGGATCTGTAGTGTTAAAGTCAAAGTCTAAAATATAAAACAATAACGCTACATTTCTGCAGCTAGAAGGGTACTGGATCCTGTATTCCTACAAGAGCCTCAGTTAATGTCCCTACACTCCTTACATTCCTGTACTCCTACAAGTAAGAGCCTCGTTTAATGTCCCTACACTCCTTACATTCCTGTACTCCTACAAGTAAGCGTCTTGGTTAATGTTCCTACACTCCTTACATTCCTGTACTCCTACACGTAAGAGTCTCAGTTAATGTCCCTACACTCCTTACATTCCTGTACTCTTACAAGTAAGAGCCTAGGTTAATGACCCTGCACTCCTTACATTCCTGTACCCCTACAAGTAAGAGCCTTGTTTAATGTCCCTACATGCCTTACATTTCTGTATTCCTACAAGTAAGAGCCTCGGTTATTGTCCCTACATTCCTTACATTCCTGTACTCCTACAAGTAAGAGCCTCGGTTAATGTCCCTACACTCCTTACATTCCTGTACTCCTACAAGTAAGAGTCTCGGTTAATGTCCCTACGCTCCTTACATTCCTGTCCTCCTACAAGTAAGAGCCTCGGTTAATGTTCCTACACTCCTTACATTCCTGTACTCCTACAAGTAAGAGCCTCAGTAAATGACCCTACACTCCTTACATTCCTGTACCTTACAAGTAAGAGCCTCAGTTATTGTCCCTACACTCCTTACATTCCTGTACTCCTACAAGTAAGAGCCTCAGTTAATGTTCCTACACTCCTTACATTCCTGTACTCCTACAAGTAAGAGCCTTGGTTAATGTCCCTACACTCCTTACATTCCTGTACCTTACAAGTAAGAGCCTCAGTTATTGTCCCTGCACTCTTTACATTCCTGTACTCCTACAAGTAAGAGCCTCAGTTATTGTCCCTGCACTCCTTACATTCCTGTACTCCTACAAGGAAGAGCCTTGGTTAATGTCCCTACATTCCTTACATTCCTGTACTCCTACAAGTAAGAGCCTCAGTTAATGTCCCTACACTCCTTACATTCCTGTACTCCTACAAGTAAGAGCCTCAGTTAATGTCCCTACACTCCTTACATTCCTGTACTCCTACAAGTAAGAGCCTCGGTTATTGTCCCTGTGCTCCTTTCTTCAATGTACTCCTACAAGTAAGAGCCTCGTTTAATGTCCCTTCGCTCCTTACATTCCTGTACTCCTACAAGTAAGAGCATCGGTTAATGTTCCTACACTCCTTACATTCCTGTACTCCTACAAGTAAGAGACTCGGTTAATGTCCCTATGCTCCTTACATTCCTGTACTCCTACAAGTAAGAGCCTCGGTTATTGTCCCTGCACTCCTTACATTCCTGTACTCCTACAAGTAAGAGCCTCGGTTAATGTTCCTACACTCCTTACATTCCTTTACTCCTACAAGTAAGAGCCTCGGTTAATGACCCTACACTCCTTACATTCCTGTACCCCTACAAGTAAGAGCCTTAGTTAATGTTCCTACACTCCTTACATTCCTGTACTCCTACAAGTAAGAGCCTCATTTAATGACCCTACACTCCTTACATTCCTGTACTCCTACAAGTAAGAGCCTCAGTTATTGTCCCTACACTCCTTACATTCCTGTACTCCTACAAGTAAGAGCCTTGGTTAATAATGACCCTACTCTCCCTACCCTCCAGTACTCCTACGAGTAAGAGCCTCGGTTAATGTCCCTCAACTCTTACATTCCTGTACTCCTACAAGTAAGAGCTTCGTTTAATGTCCCTACACTCCTTACATTCCTGTACTCCTACAAGTAAGAGCCTCGATTAATGACCCTACACTCCTTACATTCCTGTACTCCTACAAGTAAGAGCCTCGGTTATTGTCCCTGCACTCCTTACATTCCTGTACTCCTACAAGTAAGAGCCTCAGTTACTGTCCCTACACTCCTTACATTCCTGTACTCCTACAAGTAAGAGCCTCAGTTAATGTTCCTACACTCCTTACATTCCTGTACTCCTACAAGTAAGAGTCTCGGTTAATGTCCCTATGCTCCTTACATTCCTGTACTCCTACAAGTAAGAGTCTCGGTTAATGTTCCTACACTCCTTACATTCCTGTACTCCTACAAGTAAGAGTCTCGGTTAATGTTCCTACACTCCTTACATTCCTGTACTCCTACAAGTAAGAGTCTCGGTTAATGTTCCTACACTCCTTACATTCCTGTACTCCTACAAGTAAGAGTCTTGGTTAATGTTCCTACACTCCTTACATTCCTGTACTCCTACAAGTAAGAGTCTTGGTTAATGTCCCTACACTCCTTACATTCCTGTACTCCTACAAGTAAGAGTCTCGGTTAATGTTCCTACACTCCTTACATTCCTGTACTCCTACAAGTAAGAGTCTTGGTTAATGTTCCTACACTCCTTACATTCCTGTTCTCCTACAAGTAAGAGTCTCGGTTAATGTCCCTACACTCCTTACATTCCTGTACTCCTACAAGTAAGAGTCTTGGTTAATGTTCCTACACTCCTTAGATTCCTGTACCCTACAAGTAAGAGCCTCGGTTAATGTCCCTACACTCCTTACATTCCTGTACCTTACAAGCAAGAGCCTCGGTTAATGTCCCTGCGCTCCTTACATTCCTGTACTCCTACAAGTAAGAGCCTCGATTAATGTTCCTACACTCCTTACATTCCTGTACTCCTACAAGTAAGAGCCTCGGTTAACCCTTTCAACGCCGAATATAGTTACGTCTATAACATCATGGATGCCGTACTATGACGTCAACTGAGACGTAAAATAATTTGCTTCAGAAAAAAGCGTCAAATTGATAGTGAAACAAGCACCTGTTTAACCAATGTAATAGGATGTTTATAGTTTTCAAGGAAAATTCGTATAATAAAGTCATATTCATTCCAGTAGTTTTTAATCGCCATAAAGTAAATTTAGCCAATATTTATCCTGTAGCTAGCATATGCAAGGAAAGTCTTTAAATATAACAAAAGATTTATTTAATCTTAAGCTTTTTCAAAAAATAAATTAAATGTTATAAATATATGACTGCCGTCACAAGTAAAGGGTCCTTAAATAGCCTGGCCCTTTCTGAATGCAAATACATGTATGAATAACTTTTTTCAAATATCTGATTTTTTTTTTCAGTATTTTATAAGCATTTTAGTAAGGCACTTCAAAATTACGTTGACGTTACTGACTAAAAACCCAATTATGTTGCGTGCGTCAAATTCAGTTTCTAAACATTCTTAGAATTATTTAAATAATTTTAATCGTTTTAACACATAAAAACTTGAGAAAATATTTTATTTTTTCTTCTAAGCTACTAGTATGTCCTAAGAAAAAGATGCCTTAGTTCATACTTCTAGAGGCAGATGCAGTTATTTCGTAAGGGAGGAGGGGGGGGGGTCTAGAAATTTAGGATCTGGAATCGGTTTATTTTCAGTCGAAAAAAAATAATAGAATTCAACAAAAAGTTTTTTTTATGTTTAATACTTTAGCTCAATAAATAAAGTATATAAAGCACCCCCCCCCCCCCCCCCACACACACACACTCCAAAAAAAAAAAGAATACACGGATGGCCCTTACAGAAATAAGAAATCCAACCCAAACAGGGGCACCACGCATAAAGTGGGCCATCCCCTCGCAAAAAAGCAAATTGATTCCGATATAAAAAAAAATATTAATTTCAGTTATAAGCATGCATCCCCCACCCACCACAAGCGTGTTTCTTTTTCCCCTCTAGCTTTGTTAAGAGAAGATAACAACACCCAAGGATCTCTGTATCACCGATGGATTCTAACGGAAAAAAATAATTCAGATGAATTTATGATGCATGAATTTTTTTTTCTTAAAGTTTATTCTGTTCATAAAAAGTCATAAATAAAAAAAAATAAATCTTTTTATACTTCCAAGTGGATATTTTTTTAAAATACATTGATAAAATATTTTAAATAAGTTTCCATTGTTCATACAATTCAACTTCTTCGCCTCTCCTAGATATGGAATAAAAACATATAAAATAGATTCCCTAGACCGCAGAACAGTTTCTGGAAAGATTGGAAATATTCAATTCAATTCACTTTATTGACAATTACCATGTCGGCATACAGTCATGACATAAAACAAATTAACAAGCATCTATACTTATAAATTAATAAATTTTGCAAATAAACTCCGAAACGGGTGCACCAGCGTTCTTACTTACTCCTCTAACAATACACTAGATACAAGCTGATGTCCGTAAACTATATTTAGATTTCACTC